TTTACCTATTTATATTTTATTTACCTATTTATATTTTATTTACATATTTATATTTTATTTGCATTTACACAATTATATTTCTATTTACATTTGCGTATTTCTGTTTTATTTACATTTTACCCTCTGCATTTTTGGTCCCATTTAAAGACTAACTGAGTTCCCCCTCCACTGGGAATGAGGACAAGCTGTCCCAGCGGGGAGATGATGTCGGTTACAACACCTGGGACAAACCCTGGCACCCGGAGAACGCCGGGGACTCCTTTGGCCAAGAGTTTTTCCGACTGGGAAGAATACAGCGAGGAAGAGCAGTCCCAAGGAAAAGGCAGCAGCTACCAAAAACTGCCCAGCTGGGAAGAAACCAGCATGGAAGGGCAGTCCCAAGGAAAATTCAGTAGCTACCAAGAACTACTGCCTGACTGGGAAGACTCCAGTGCCAAAGAGCTTTCCCAAGACCAAGAGTCCGTTGGACAAGAGTTTTCCCACTGGGAAGGCTCCAGACCCTCCCTGCTGTCCCAGTGGGAAGATGACAGCGACAGGGAGCTCGCACTGCAGGACTGGGGACACACGGCACAGGACTGGGCTCAGGGCTCTGCAGGGCTCTTCATCTCCCCTGCTCTCACTCCTCACTTTTGGGAGTGCAATTCCATCTTTGCCAGAACTTTATTTTCCCCTCTCCAGTCCGTTCTCCCGGAGGTGTCACTGCCGTCTCTGCTGGGCTCAGCCTTGGTCCATCCTGGACCCAGCTGGGCTTGGGGGAAGCTTCCAGAAGCTGCTCACAGAACCCACCCCTGCAGCCCCCCTGCTACCAAAACCTGGCCAGGCAAACCCAAAGAAAGTCCACAGGGAGCAGAGATCCACCTGCAGTCCCTGGAGGAGCAGAGACCCACCTGCAGCCCCTAGAAGTCCATGGTGGAGCAGAGATCCACCTGCAGCCCCTGGAGAAGCAAAGATCCATCTGCAGCCCCTGGAGGAGCAAAGATCCACCTGCAGCCCTTGAAGGAGCAAAGATCCATCTGCAGCCCCTGGAAGTCCATGGTGGAGCAGAGACCCACCTGCAGCCCCTGGAGGTCAAAAGGGAGCAGAGATCCACCTGCAGCCCCTGGAAGTCCATGGTGGAGCAGAGACCCACCTGCAGCCCCTGGAGGAGCCCCCTGGATCAGGGGGATGCCCGAAGGAAGCCGTGACTCTGTGGGCACCCCACCCGGAGCAGGGTCCTGGCAGGGAAGTGCAGTCCATGGATAGAGGAGCCCAGGCTGGAGCAGGGAAAGGACTCTTCTCCCTGAGCAGTGACAGGAACAGGGTGTGATGAACTGACCAGAAACCCCATTCCCCATTTTTCCCACCTTATACAGCAGTAATATTTTTATTATTTATTTACGATTTATGCACTGTGCCTTTTGAACCCCAGCTACTCCAGACTAGGGCAATAAAACTAGTTTTCTATCCCAAACAGACTAAAAACATAGTTTGTTTAGCATTAAAAAGCCCTATTTTTTTACTCTGTTTGGGATAAAAGACTAAACCCTGTGTGTTTGGTCTCACCTCTCACAAAACTGATCCAAATGTCTCCAAAGGTGATTTTTGCCCTGGTGCAGCCATGTGGTGACTTTGATTCACCTGCCCACAGCAATTCAGGCTGCTTTCCCAATGGATTTGGAATTCCATTTTCATTATTTAGCAGCAATTTATTGATTCTTTGTTCACCCTGATTTAAATAAATACACTACTACTACTACTACTACTACTACTACTACTAAAAGTACTCCTAAAATAAATCAAATAAAGTAAAAATAGAGATAAATATTTATGAAAATAAATATTTATT